CTCTCTCTCTCTCTCTCTCTCTCCCTCCCTCCCTCCCTCCCTCCCTCCCTCTCAAGGGGTGACACATTTGCGAGTCCCGTTTGGATTATTCAAAATGGCAGGCATGTCACATTTCCTACCCTGAGAGTACTCATTGCTTAGTTTCAATCCCTACCCGGGTACCTAATGTCAAACTAGATCACCTCACCCCAACCCCCTTAGTCCTTGGTGTTTAACATTGACAGGTACAAAAGATTGTTGAAAATCATTGCAGGTACCATATGTTACTTGGCTTGTAAATTTAATGAAAAAGCAAAAAGAGGTTTCTCACGTAACCACTGTGTCTATTTGTTTACGAAGTTTTATGCAACAACTTTGCTAAGCATGTTCGCGTTCGAACACCAACATCTGTTACATTATTCCATGAAAAACAAAGAACGTTTGCTACGTGTATTTACTGTTTATTTGTTTACAAGGTTTTATCGAAAATAAATCCTAGTTTGTCAAGCATGGTTTTAAAATGAACACCTATTACAAAATAAAATAAAAAACTAGATTTTTTTTTTTTACTATTTTTACGGGGTTTTAGGCGAAAATCAAGTCAGTCTACCACGCGTGTTTCAAACGCCAACATCTCTTACATTCAATGACAAGACAAGAGTCATGCATTTCTGCACGTATCCGCGTTCATCTATTCAAAACTCGAAGTTTTATTGAAAATAAATCATGCTTTGCCAAGCTTACTCCAATGTTACTTTACATAACTTTGCCAAGCATTACGTACTGCAATGACATTTTACTTAATCTTGTTGCGGTGTTATTTAATGACTGAATAGCATTTAAAAATGATTTACTTAAAAGATCCTCTCTCATATGATAACGTTAGGGTGCAGTGAGTAATTCCTGAAGGAAGGGTTGCTAGAACTAGCAGGTACGTGTTGATTTTCGTAAATCTAAACCGTTTCAATTTAATTTAAGTTGTTTGAGTTGGAAAGACAATGGCGGATCCAGGAGGAGGGGGTGACTAGTCACCCTGCTCTAAAGTTAAAAAAATAATAACAGTCATGCTCACCCCCCTTGAAATCGTTCTGGATCTGTCTCTGAATGACTATGCAGCTTCTTCAACCCCATAGCTCCGTCGATTATCAGCTACAGTATTAACTAAATAGCAAAGCGACGCGTTCAACAACATGATTCATGCAAAACAAAGTAAGATAATAAACTCGAACAGACTGTGCTGAAAAAAGAACAGAGTAGAATCTTGAACAACATTATATGCTACAGACGACTGACGGTTCAGAAGCCGCAGAAAAGCCAAACTGTGAATGGTCGTTTTGTGTTCATCATTAAATATACTGGATGCCGAAGATAGTGTAAAGAAACGCATTTGATATGCGAGCAAAATCATTTTAGCGAGAAAGCCCTGAAGTTTTCATCGCATGGAGTTACAATTTAAAACTAATAACTCAAATCAAATTGAATCTTCGAGCTTCACTTTCTATATAAGCTTGAAACAACCCTTGACATAGCTCCATGTGACAAAAACAAACACGTTCATTGAAGAAAGAAAAAACATCTTTTGTTTGATATTGGGAAACAGTCCAAACTGGTGCACTTGAATTAAACTGGCAAGGGCACGCTATCTCTATCTAAAAACTGTAAAGTCGATCGAATAAAGCTAATGGGTTATTTATGCGATAGCTTTCGTTTCGATTGGATATTTTTAGACTACCAGGACAATGAAGACAATTTTCGATCGCATTATCCTACTTGGGTGAGGTCGTGTTATGAACTGCTCCGTCCGCCCGACACTCCAGTATAATCTTGAGGCTATTTGGAGGCAAACAACTTAATAAACGGCATCCAAGACGTATTTGTATTCTTTTGAATGAGTCGTAATCCACTGAGTTACATGTGCAGTTGACGTCAGATAAATTGGATGTCTATTCGATGACACTGACATCGCAAATGATAAAACCTCAGGTCGGGTTTTCACTGGAACAGCAGATTATTTTTTACACCCAGCTTCCTCAAAAACATTGGTAGGTACGTTAATTCTGTTTTACTTCGATAAGCTTAAAATAAATAAAAAAACAAGCAGAGCTTTCACTTCAAAGACAAGTACGACTACCCAAGAGGATTAGCGTGTGCAGCGTTGGACTTTTTATTAACTGGTAGGAAATAATTTTTATTTAATTCTTTATTTAGTTTTGTTGACCTAGTTTAAATACCTAGCCAGACTCAATCCATGCTAAACTCTCTTGTATCCGCGATATTTTAATCACATTTATTTTACGATTTTTTTTACTTTTTTTTTTTTTTTTTCATGCTTCGTGTTTGTATACAATTTATTATACATCAATATAATTGAATTGAGATGTGTGAACGCTAAATTAAAACAATAAAGACATTCGATCTTGATAAAGACATTCGTTTAAAAACGATTTTGGAAAATCACTAAACACTTAATGTGACACTCAGATCTTTCGCTAATATCTTTAAGCCGTAAAATTATTGTCAAAACCAAATGTTCTATTTCGTAGGGAAGTCATCTTGAGATATAAATTTAATTGGAAATCGTCTTTAGTCGTTAATTATCGTAGACATTGAGTCAGTACCTGTTGTCTAGCGCGCTTGTAGTTCAAAGTGAACTCAAGAACCATATGTAGCTGGAGGCGACAGATCGCGACAAAAAAACAAAACCCTATCCTACACGCTGAGGGAGTATTTATAAATAATGGATTTGAATGCATTTTGATGCTAATAGAAAAGATTATTTGCTTATGAACTAGTAGTTATGATATATACTAGGTGTATACCATCTACGATCAGAAGACAAATCATTCGCCGAAAATATACTCTGGACAATTTGTTTGTATGAAATTATAAAACCATCAAAAGACAAACATACTTCTCTTTTTCGATCGTTATTATTGTGACAAGAAACTCGGTGTATTTTGACGCAAAGTAAAAGTCCTTTAAACGTTTTTGCGAGGCGTAAATACGAACACTTTAAGACGGAAAACGATAAAAGCCAAAAGCACATGGCATCGCCAATATCTGAATCGGTAGAAAAAAAACGTAACCTTTCCTTAAAGCTACACATAACAATGGAAGTATACAACTACTTCTAAAAACGTTGTCGGTCAGAGATCTGGAATCTGAGACCGAAAGGAATTGTGGGTTGTAAGCTGTAAATTGTTTTGTGGTTTAAATGAGTAGTTCGCAAAAAGTTAATATCTTGATATACTAACTTTGAGCGATGACCTGCACTGACAAACTATCTGGGTAAAGTGTATTTTGAATTTTGAACGAGAACACTACTCCACAACTCAAATCGGTCTCAGATTTGTTAATTCAGATATCCAACCGAAAACGTTTTTTGAAATAGGTGTATATACGTGGGTATTTTATCTTGGATACCCAATGTTTTGTCAAAATATATTAAATCTCCTTGACGACACTAGATTAAAAGCTGTTATTAAATATAATAGGGAATGTTTTCGTCGTGATGAACCTGAACCTGGAGATTCGTTTTAAAATAATAAGACTCAAATAAGAAGGAAATTGGATAGAACAAAACAAACGATTAAGCAAATGAACAAACAAAAATGAGTAGTGGGAAAAGCCGAAAGGAAGGAGTGAATGAATGAATGATTGACTATTCATTATGAGTAAACTGAATGAAAATGAAGAGAGGAGGGAAGAAAGAATAAAAGAAATGAAGAAACAAAAGAGAAGAGGAAAGAAGTTACTATAAACTAAAGAAATAAGAAAGGAGTTAACGAACTTCCAACCACGTGGGCTTGGATTTTTAATGGTCCTTAATGACTATGAGGGGCGTCTTCATTCAAAATACCGGAAATACCAGTTCTAAAATGGCCTCAATAAAAGCGTGGTCAAAAGCCCTTTAATAGACCGATAGCCTTTTAATCATACATAGGTTTCTCACAGTAATCATCGCTGTATTTGATCCCCGAGGACTAGGGAAACACCTTGTAGGATCAGACGGAATCTATCTTATACATTTAATATATTAGTACACTTCAAAGAGGTATGAGTCAATAACTTGTAAAACAATTAAAAACGGAAGTAGACACGTTGTAGAACCGGAAGTGAAAGAGCTGAGTGTTTTGAAGTCGTGTTTAAAACAAGAAAAAAATATGCTTGTTTACCCGAGGCGGAAAACAAACCGTTGAGGGAAGCAGAATTTCAGCGTTTACGATTTCAGGCCACGTGTCATTCCCGTAAGAATAATTTCTTGTCTATTTTCAACGTTACTCAAGGATTGACTCGACACACATTAGCCATTCCGATATTAGGAGACAAAGCAGAGGCCATCTTGGAAATATTCCCCCTAAAGCAGTCCTGCAATGCACTGCAATGCCAACTCGACCCAGTTTTTTTCTAAACCTTAGAACGACCAACAAATAAACACCGAACAAAGAAGCTTACAAACTGCCCCAGGCCACGACTACGTTATCACGTGATCACTTATTTAGTTACCAGCAGATAAATCGGCAACATGATAAAACTGTAAGAATACTTTACTTTACTAAAGTGCTGCACAAGTGCTCTTAGCTCATGGTATAAAACTAAGTGAGAATATCGAGATGCACAAAGATAACGACTGTGGCCAAGGTTATCAGTGCTTGGGCTACCTGTGGATTTCGACCGTCTTTTAGAAATGAAGGCTGAAAAACGTAGTTTTAAACATATACCACTAAATGAGAGATATTCTACTCGTGCCATGCTTATGGTACCAGCGAATGAAAAGGAAAACTGCTAAAATACTGATGCGTGATATAACGTATAGTGCAGAAACAAAGTGTTATCGTGATGAATGTCGAAAGTAGATTAAAGTGACGACTTCTTTCAATCATTTTGTTTTCAATGATAAACGTAACTGATGTGATCGATATTGAACTCTGTTAGTTAATACAGCATAATTAGGTTCGCCAGTAGAAATGATGTTGTTACGGGAAGCCACGTTGGTTCAATAAATAGGACCATTTGTCCCAGTCAATTAGCAGTTGCCAGCTGAGAAACGCGGAGCGCAAAGCATGAGTGGACAATATGACCGGCCCTAAGCACTTTTGGAAACTTGAAAAAACGAAGCAAATGTGGCGCTAAATCGAAATTGTGTTTATTCTTCCTTTCCATATTTCTGCTTCTTGTAGTCACGTATATGATATCTTAATCAAAAGAAAACATAAAAATGCGCAAATGTTGGGTTACTGTAGCCGGGGAATGAGTTCCGGCGGCAAAACGCGCTGTGATTGGCTGAAACAAAATTCACCGCTCAGCTGGTGAGTCAGTACTAGTATTCTGGAGTAAGTTTAGAACAGGCAATACTTAGCATGTCAACAGGGCCATCTCGTGATAATTGCCGTCTTTTTCCCATACACGTAGTCTTTCTAAATGTAATCAGGTCCCAAGCGTACTGCCAACAGATGTGAGTAGAGTTTGTGTAGTTTCTCCCTTGATTCGAGGGTTTTCAGGGTTCTACCGTTTCTCCCTTTCTTCCCTCTGCAAAACATAACACGAAAAATTCCAATTCCACCTATGAGTTAGTCGTGCCATGTATGCTCTGAAGTCGTGCTCTGAATAAGCCTGAAGGGAGATGACGTTTTACCCCCGACTCTATACCATAATAGTTTTTAAAATTCTTTCATATTAAAATTTTTGATTCCTTAGAGAATACAGGAACAATAGTCATAATTAAAGACGAACAAAAGCAATGTGAAAAGGATTATGGTCTAGAGACGGGGGTAAAACGTCATCTCGCTTCAGGCTTATTAGATCAGCCGTCTCAATTAGATCGGCCAAGAGGCTGTTTAAGACTTGTTTAAAGTCTTAAAGACCAAATCTATCACTGAGTAAAATTTTAGTTAACAATTGATTACAGCTCGACCAACCATTTGGACTTAATTTGATAATCACGTTCATGGAAACCAAAATGACTAGCTCTTAAGTCGTGGTTAAGAACATTCTAGTAGTCCATAAAGATAACAGATTAGCAATAATTATTTTATAACCATTAGTAAAGTAAGCAGTCATTTATTTCCGTATGACGTCATTGCCATCATGTTGCCTGACGTTCCAAGATCTCTTGGCTGATACATTATCAAAGACAGCCTTAGTGACGTAAAAATAGGTAAGTGAGATTCGGTCATAGCTCAAGTTTTTATTGCTAAAGGAAATGGCCCGTCTTGCCATTAAAAAAAACAACAAGATGTACGTTTACGGAAGAGAGGTGATAAGTCAGATACGTCATATGTTGGCAGATACGTCAAGGATGGGGAAAGTGGTATCTCAAATGAGATCTGAACTCATTACGAAATACCATAACTAGTATGTTTACTACTTGCACCCACAACTAAGTCGTTAAGGATGATTTCAGTTCACAAATTAAAGAATAATCTAATCTTGATTAGTCGTGAGAAATTTGGTGATTTGGGGTAATTAGATGAGCAATGAATGAGAGTGCGAATGAATGGATGAGGTGGATGGGTAGATGTGTGGATAAGTGGGTTCTTTGGTTGGTACATGGACGGATAGATGTATGGATGACTGGGTACATGGGTGGGTACATGGATGGATAGATGAGATAGATGGATAGATGCATGGATGATTAGGTACATGGATGGATAGATGAGATAGATGGATAGATGCATGGATGANTACATGGATGGATAGATGAGATAGATGGATAGATGCATGGATGATTAGGTACATGGATGGATAGATGAGATAGATGGATAGATGCATGGATGATTGGGTACATGGATGGATAGATGAGATAGATGGATAGATGCATGGATGACTTGGTTCATGGGTGAGTTCATGGGTGAATACATGGATGGATTGATGAATAAATTGGAGCATAGCTCTAATGAATAGATGGACGAGATCAAATAGGATGAGATGACACGAGATGCATGGCAGGATGGAATGCAAATCAGTGAAAATAATAGGAGATGAGATGGGTGAAAGGATGGATGATGGATCAAGATGGACAAAGCTGGGACTGGGCATTAAGCCGTCCACCCAGGTGTAGTAAATGCATTAGAAATCTGGCAAAAAGCTCTACTGGAAAAGACCCCTGAAATCTCAACAAACTGCGCCGCACTTCAACCAGGCCAATCAAGAACACAGCGTCGTCCAACAGGGCGTATGACAGCCCGTCAGGCACTAGTGTGAAACATGTATCAAGTAGAGTAGAGTAAAAACAATTAAGTTACCCATTTCCCGTGATGCACGTAAGTTAGCACTGTCGTTGACTGCTGAAGAGATGTGCTTCCTTTGACGTTAACACACTGCAACAATCTATAATTAAAATGCTATTGACTGATGTCGGATTTTACTGTGAATCATAAAGGGTTTTCGAAACACCTGTTCAACGTCGTGAGCAGCCAGTAAGTAATTCTATGGACTCCTCTTATGATTGATTTGTTACTGCCTTACACCTTATCTTATATCAAATGATAAAGAACTGGAAGAAAAACTGTGAATAAACTGGTAAGCTAATGATTGAACAATAAGGTAGGTTGAGAATGAGAAAAATGAGGTGGAAAACGAATCGGTGAATTAATCCGGCATAAAATAGTAATATGAAACGCAAGCATAAATCACTCGGATAAGTAGATATAAAAAGAGAGCAAATAGAGCAAATTCTCTGGCGCATTAATCATGAATTAACAACAGAAATTAATACAAGGGTTTATCGTGTGACCACGTGACGATGATGCATCCCTCTGCCTACGATTCGCTGATGTTTGATTTTATAAAATGACAACATGAAATATTATAGTACTTTGAACTAGCTAGCCTTCGGCGTGAATGTATTAATCCTAATGGAAAGCCTGACTATAAACAAATCAAGATGAGCTGGGCGAAGTCGTATTGAGCTTTGGTGATTCTCTTGTCATAAGTGGACTTTGCTTCAGTGGGCCTAATATCGTTTCAACAGTCAAAGATACATGCAAATCATGAATTGGTGATCACGATAGATCTATCATTTAATAATCTCGTAGTTATCTTGAACTAGTGAAGCAAATTAATAAATTATTTTAGGACGGAAATATTAGACGAAAAGCAAGCAGGAAATCATTAACAAAGCTGGCCGAGTATCAGGAGCGAGAGAAAGTTGCCTTTAAGAAGTCTAGAAGATTTGAAATCACAGGAATATTTAATTCGAAAAAAACAGGAGCGAAAAAAGCAAGGATTCCAGCATCTATTTCAATAGGAACTTCTGTAATGGTCTTAGTAGAAGAAATGTGATGCTAGGGCATGAAGGAACTTTACATTGATCTTACACAATAAGGTAAGAAAAACTCTCATAGTAACAGAAAATATCTACAGGGAATCATAAAAAATTTACAAACAATTGATTTGAATAGATTATGAATTGGCGGATGAAAATAATAATGAACAAAAATCCGTCGGCTGAAAAAGAAAAGGTAGATTCCTATTTATTCGGGAAACAAATGTATGATTACATATATCTAGTAGATCTAAAACGTCGGCAACCGATTTTGACATTACGATGAATGTAAAGATAAGGATTCTTTATTTTGGGGACTGGAGCAAGAGTTCAGGAACAAATTCGAAAACCGCACGACATACTAGATTTTTTTCTTTTTCTTTTACTATATATGAATGTTAAACATGCAAAATAAATTTAAAAAGTAAAGATACAGATAAATTTATCTTGAAGCAAAAATAGATAGTCTTAGGACATATTATAAGCCATATTACAGTCGTTATTAAGTTAGGCGTGATATCGTTTGTTAAGAGCCAAGGTAAGATCATTGCTACTGACTAATCACGATACAGATATATATATATTTTTTTCTAGCTTAATTTTACATTAAGATTAAAGGTTTTAAAAATAATTCAAAACCATGAACCTCAAAAAACATGATTAGGAATTAAAATACTCTTTGATAAAAAAATACCGCAAAAATTTAATCAACTCATCAAAGTGTTAATTCTTAAATCTTGCGAAATGGCAACATATGAAGAGAGCTTAAGACGGAAATAGGTTCAGGAACCATCTTCGTAATTTAAAGACAAATTATTTCTGGGTTGTTTAAATTTTCTTTTATTTCGAAGATAGATTTTTAGTTTACTGCGAATGTAGTAATTTTTAGAAAAGCCTCAAAGTCGTCACAAAAAATAAGCTCAGGAACCATCTTCGTAATTTAAAGACAAATTATTTCTGGGTTGTTTAAATATTTTTTTAATTTCGAAGATAGATTTTTAGTTTACTGCGAATGTAGTAATTTTTAGAAAAGCCTTAAAGTCGTCACAAAAAAGTATCTTTTATTGGTTGGCAATCTCGGAAGTTTCCTTGATAATTAGTTTCGTGTTAATTTTTGAAAACATTTTTTTGACAAATATTAAAGTCAAAAAAATTATCAGGCAAATTAGTTTAGGGTTGTTTAATTTCTTATTTTGAAAATATTTATTTCTTACTGCATAATCTTAATCGTAGTAAATTTTAGGGGAAAATTTTTTAGTCGTACAAAAAAGTATCCTATATTTGTGGGCAATGTGGGAAGGTTACTAGATGGTGTTAATTTTGGAAAAATATTTCATAATTAATTAAGCAAGTTTTAGATCGTGGAAATATATATTGATGAGATCTGGAACAACTTGATGCTAATTGGTTCCAATGTAATATGATTTTGGGAATAAGAGAAGCTGGGGTTGCACTTTAGAAAAATGAAATGAAAACGGGAAACGGAAAAAAGTGGAGAATATGGCATTTCTGCGTTGACGGTTAAAGTCGATTGTCCGATTAATTAAAAAGTAAAGACACACAATGGATTTTTCACAACAAATGAATGAAACACAATAAAACTCAATGAATGAAGAACCGACAAAAGACTAAAAGGGAATAAACTTGACAATAGTTAGTAATTTGCTTGTGAATGTCCGAAACCGTCACAAGTACAATCGTTTCAAACTGCTTCGAGTAATGAATTCTATTTTTGATTGAATTCCAGGGAATATTAAATGGTGATGATTAGTAATGGGAAAACTATTTGATGACAAGGAAGCATACGCAGCTGATAAACGAATGAAAAACTTCACTTCAAAATAAATTTTTTTTAAAAAATCAGCTAGAAATTTCTAAAAATGTTATCCATACGAATCTCGTAGATATAATATAACGAAAGGAAATTGAAATTTTGTTTGGGGTTTATTTCCTAACGCTCTATCAACGATATGTAAAGTTAATCAATTCAACTTCAGTTTAAAAATACCACGAAAAATCATTCTAAAAAATTCTAGAATTTTATGTTTATTTGATACAAATCTCGTAGATATTTCGGCAAAACTAGTGATGAAGGGAAATTGAATTCTGTTGAGAGGTTTGTTATTTCCTAGCGCGCTATCCACGACAGACAAATTAAATACTGTATGTCAAATTAAAAATGTGTACAAATATATTTCTAATGATTCAAACTGAGCTCACACATGTGAAGAGACGCCAGGGACAGCAGTGTAGGAAGTGACGG